TCGATCACAGTCCATCTGTCTTAAGCCATGACTTATGAGTGATTGGAGATGCCTTGGCCGCTAAGGAACAGCCCTTGCATTTGTCCACCATATGTATAATATCTTGATCCATGTTTGGCCAGTATACATAAATTCGCACTAAGGATTTCATCCTGTTCTTTCCTGGATGGGCCATTTGGAAATTCTTGAGGATTCGCCTTTGTAGCGTTTTCGGGGTTACTACTCTTTCGTTATATAGTAGACCATTATCACATAACGAAAAACTGTATAACATATAATTATCTTTTCCTGCAATTTTTGTTTTCGTTTCCTTTATAAATTCGTCATTCACTGCTTCGTTTCTTATTTTCTGTAATGTGACGGGGAGGTTTCGAATTGTACTATATAAGGATGTTCTAATATCTTCCTCATCTCGTAGTGCTGCAATTACGGAATCTTCTAATAACTCTGTTTTCTTTGGTATCAGTTTCGAAAGACCGTCTGCATGCCCGATTTTGTTTGATGGGAGGTACTCCAATTTGAAATTATAATTTAATAAAAACGTACCCCATCTTAGTAATTGTTATGGAGTGATTTCACAGTGGAGGCTTGTATTTGTAACAAGTCGTTCGTGAAATAGGTTCGACGTACAAAAAGTTAGGAACTTGATATAATAACATAATATAATTGATATATAACGCAGAGAAATCTAGTTGTGGTCGCTGATACTTTAGTATCCGACTAACGGTCGTCCGGCATCGACTGACTGACCGAACCACTGAGCCACTCACTCTTTACTCTTACTACACCTACTTATTATAGGTGGGAGCGTCTATTAACTATAGAATAGGTGTGTTCCATTATAACAGTAATCTATTAGCAGTGTAGACAGGTAGAACTTTCTTTGATCCAAATATTGTTAGTAACGGTTTATGATCTGTCTGTAAGGTGAAAAATCTACCATAAATATATCTGTGAAATCTCGTGACTGCAAAAATAATCCCCAGCGCTTCTTTTTCGATTTGCGAGTAATTTTGTTCGGTCGGTAGTAAAGTTTTTGACGCATGTGCGATGGGTTTTAGTGTCCAATCCAGCATTTTATGTTGTATACATGCACCAATACCATAGGCACTGGCGTCACTCGCGACTATTATTTCCAATTTAGGATCATAATGTGCTAAAAATAAATCTGCTGTTAGAGTCTTAATGATTTTGTCAAAATTTTTCTGACATTCATCTGACCATTCCCAAACTTTTCCCTTCTTCAACAGTTCATTTAGGGGTGCGCGTAATTTGTGCATGTTAGGAATAAATTCTTGATAATAATTTACTAAGCCCAAGAAGCTTTGTAACTCGGTTAAATTTTTTGGAGCCGGCATTTTTTTTATTACCGTGGCTCTTTCCGGGTCTGGTCTTCTTCCTTCTTCGTCAATAATATGGCCCAGATATTTTATCTCCTTCAAAAAGAAGTCACATTTATTATCTGTCTGAAAACCTCTTGAACGTTTTCCCAGTGTTGTTCAATATTTTTGCTATTCATCAGGATGTCATCAAGGTATGCGATCGTAAAATCCAGTCCGCCTAGCATAGTGTCCATTATTTGGTGTAATATCGCCGGCGCGACCTTGATCCCAAATGATAATCTCTGAAACTGATATAATCCTTTATGTATGTTTATGCACAACAACCTCGAGCTTTCCTCATCTACTGATACCTGTAGGTATGCTTCGCTCAAGTCTATTTCCGAGAAAAATTTTCCTCCGTTCAACTTTGTGAAAACTTCCACTGGACAAGGGAGAGGATAGTGATAATCCTTAATCGCTGCATTCAGCGCATACTCGTAGCTCACCCGATTTGTTTTTCATGTAAACCGTAGGTACGGCCCATTGACTATATTCCACCTTTGTCAATATACCGGTTTTCGCGAGTCTATCCAATTCTTCGTCTATCTTTTCCAATGATGCAAATGGTACATTTCTTTTCTTCTTGAAAATGGTTTGTAAATTTTCTTTTAGATCGATTTTTGCCGCCATTTTTTACACTTCCCGAGGTCGGCTGAAAATACGTTGGGGAAACTCTCCTTTATTTTCTCCTTCAATTTCTCTGCCTCGGTCAATAACCTTTCCACTTTTTGGCAGAACGTATTTGTCGGCAAATCCCAGTGGTCAAATTTCTGCATCCAGTCAATCCAAATAAATTTTCCGTATTTTTTGAAACATACATTTTTTAATTTTTTGGTCATTCCGTTGAACGTCACATTTGTGATAATCTCTCCCTCAAATTTGATTTTCTTCCAGGTTACCGACTTGGCTATTTTATCTTTTCTGAATATGGTCGGTTTGTTTAATTTCTTCTGCGTCTGTAAGATAATAATTGTTAAATCTGATCCGGAATCTAATTGTAATCTGATTTTTTTGTTTACATTTCTACTTTTACGTATTTTCGTATATTTATCCCGTCCGCTTGATCAGTTCTAGTAGCTCTTACTCGGCTTTTGTTTTCTTTCTTTGTTCTACAGTGCGAAATTTTATGTCCCACTTTATTGCACGACAGACAAGTCTTATAGCGGTATAGACAGTCTTTATACCAATGCAAAATCCCACAGCGATGGGTGGTGGTTTCTTCTGAGGTTTCATTTGACTTTTTGTAGTAAAATAATTGGTTTGGTTTGTTTTTGAGGAGGGAAAAAGCGTGTTTGTCGTTGTACTTTTCGTACGTGGGCGACGCCAGACTCTTCGATATCTTTGGAGTCCTTCTTTACGCTTTTACATCTCTGACAGTCCTCAGCCAATTTTTGTAGCGTCAATTCTGGTTCACTCTCAAGTTTTGTTAGAATTCTCCGTCTTATTTCTGCATCTTTAGTCGAGACCAGGCCTTGGACGAATAACAAACATTTAAAATTGTCAGAACTGAGTTCAGATAACTTAAAGTCATCGCAGTGTTTGTTTGCTACGGAAGCGAATGTTATATATTCTTGGCAATCCTTTTTTGTTAAATTTAAACATTTCCACCTTTTGTGAAATAATGTAGTGTTCGGACAAAATAATTCCGTTAAAAGTTTCACGGCTTCCCTGAAAGTCAACTCATTCGTTTTCCTCGGTAGGATGTAGTCTACGAATTTAGTGTATTTGCTTGACCCTAGTTTCCTCAATAGTAGACGTACTTTTTTCGCGCCTGACCAATTCCCGCAATCAAACTCATATGAATCTTCATATCTTCTGAAGTAAGCCGCGAACGTTTTGTCTTCGTCCGGTGCATAAGTGAAGTCTTTGATTGAGCTCCATATAGCATTTTTCGAGAATGCCGTTTCATTTTCAGAATTTTGTCCTTTATTTGTTACTGCCCGTAGTAGTAATTCTTGTAGTTCGAGTTGCTTTTTTCGTTTTTCTGTTGAATTTCCAATAGTTTTTCATTGAGTCTAGGCTGTCTTTCCTCATTTTTTTGTTGCTGCTCGAATTGCATTTTCATTAGTTCTAATATGGTTGCCTTAAAGTCTTCCATGTTTACCCCGTAATTTAATAATGCACAGGCTATCTGTTGTTACGAGAAGAGGAGAGAAAAAAACTCACTTTTCCCCCTTACTTTTTCTTTTCGCAATATGTACATTGTAGCTAGAGTTGTGTACTGGTGTAATAATTTTTCCTTTTTTCTCCGTGTAGAATTCAGGTTTTTGTCGTCTGTTTGTTCTGGACCCTTGGTGCGAAAAAAATTTCCTGCGTAGAATTCGATTCTATTCTGCTGACAGGTAAAATTTCTTGTCTTCGTTATCACTGTTATGGTTGGTGTCCAAAAAGTTTTTTTTTATTTTATCTTCGAGTAGAACTTTTTTTTTTCAATATCTCCATCGCCTCTGTTATGGACGACCGATAGCAAAAAGAGATTTTTTTTATATCCTCCGCGTAGATTTCGTTTCTTCAGTATCCTCGTCGCCACTGTTATGGTCCAAGGTTAAGACCATGGAAGAACAACACGAAACACAACAGTAGAAATAACAAAAAATATATTACACAAGAAATAATACAAGAAGTGAAAGGGTTAGTAAGACTGTCCGACTGGTTTGGCGTGACTGCTATCAGCTCGACTCGATTCAATACCGTCCCAATACCGTCCGTCTCTCTTGAGAGGCGTAGTATATATAGCGTTCGGAAGAGTTCATTCTGTCGGTCTAGGTAGGCACCATGAGAATAAGTATCGTGGATATTTTTCAAACCAGATGATTATTATTATTTGATCATTTGCAGTGACCCAATGAACACATTTTTCTTCGCGTTCATTACGCGATTCAGATTGATACTCATCGTCTATTTCCATATCTTTTTTCCTTTCCTACCTTAACATTTACTTTCCATATCATGATAATAATTTCCTGAGATTTACATTGGTATTTAGCATTATATAACGTAAAACTGTTTAACCGCTTCTTTGCTACTTTGTGACGCGGGACATATAGTACTATTATTGCTATACTAAATGACTTCTCTTATAATTTTATCGGCCTGAAAATTGTTAGAATCCGGGAAGACATTAAGGTTAAAATCGTGCCAATAAGAACAGATGTACTTCGAGCTGTGTCATACATACTCGAACCGATGTGAATTGAACATTCTATAATATAATTTTAATAAGTTTTATATGCTGAAACATTGCATCATTGCTTGTGTTGTAGGGAACGAACTGATAATCCTCAGTATACAATGAACTGTTACACCTCTATTAAATAGACTGTTCCAGTAGTAATATAATAATCTATGGCGTCGGTCTCAGGGACATGCTTTCCAGCTTCAGATGAACTTGTAAGTATCTACTTGTATTGTCCTTGTTTAAAATAAACCCTTATACTTTGTAAGTTGCTATTCGAGTTAATATTTCAATGACCAACCCGGACAACATTACAAAAGCTTGAGACAGAATTGTTTTACCCTATCACACACTGATTAAGGAGAACAGAAGAACATGATGATTAGAAAGCTAATTGCAATTCCATCTGTGATAGATTGACGAGATATATCAAAGATACTTACATCACTGGTGATTGTTGTTTGAAATATTGATTTGTCATAAACCCAAGAAGTACAATTACTCAGTGTCTGGTTCCCTAGGACACTTTTATTGACATAAAGATGGCAGCTACTGTACACTGGTTTCCCATCAACTATCTCTTCAGGTATGTATTCTTTTATAAGCTCAGCGTGGGCTTCATTTTGGATTTCGTAAGTGTCATTTGCCAGTTCAGGAATAGCACACCTTTTTGAGAAAAATACAATATAATATATAAAATTGGAACAATAGAAATATGATTATCAATAACACTTTTTCTTTTTCAATTACCACTATGTTGTATTGTTAGATGCCAGAATGGGGGAAATTTCAGTTTAGTTTTACTTTTGAAAGCATTTCTCATATCTTTTTTCAACATATTCTATTGTTTCCCTGCCTTATTAGATAATGATGGGGAATAATATACTAACGGATAAAAGATGTGTCAGCATATGATTGTAATTACTTTCGAATAATAAGTGCATCGCTAGGATTACAAGCAGTTATGAATTCAGAGTTGTCGTTCTCCTAGACTAGTTGCCGAACAAGGCTACAAAAAGGCTACAAAAAGCAGACTGCCCTAATATTTAACTCAGAGCTAGGGGGAGACGAAGAATTGGATTCGTACCTTTCTAACTGGGTATTTGCACGTAAATAAAAGTAATGAACTCAACATGAATTCGAACTCGGCTAATTCGAACTCAGCTAATTCGAATTAGATTAATTTTATATAGATGTAACTGATTCAATTGTATGTCTACCATGTATTATGTCGTTAAAAACTTCTTTTACAAAAATAAAGTACCAATGGTTTTAATTTTTACTAAGTAAACCGTGTCATGGCAATTAATCTCTCCGGTCACGTCCCTGGTTGTGAATCTTTTGATGCATCTATCTGTACAGACATTAAAAGGACTACTACTACTACTGCTACTACTACTACTACTAATAATAAGAATAATAATAAGAAGAATAAGAATGAGAAGAAGAAACGATAACAATTAAAAAAGTCTTTGTAAACATATTTATACACTTGAGAAAAACGGTTGTAGTGGTAATCAATGAAACTCTGCTAGCGTTCCTGGAATGCAATTATAATATTATCAGATAATGGGGATCGTTCTCATCTTGAAATATTCCGGCTGTGGATGAGTTAGTAAGAGCAATTAATAAAATATTTTAGTATAAATCTTATGGAACTCTCCTGTTATTTTGTTTATTCCCCGGGTTAGGGTGTTAGCAGTTTGCATTTGTAATTATCTTCATGCGTTTTAAGGGTTGAAAAGTCGTTGGTTCTGGATATTTTCTTTCAGAACCTGTACCTTATGTATTTTTTTTTGTTTTTTTTTTCCAAAATTATCACGAACGGCTGTAATTTTCTTGCAAATTGCAACTGTTTTTCTCAGGAAAAACGACTTTTTTGAAAAACGATTTTTGTATTTTTATACTTGATTGCAAGTTTTAAATTCAAGAAGACAGACGAACTGTCTAAATATTGTTAAACATTTTTAAACATTATATCCCGTTGTGTTTCCAAATATTGTAACAGTTACATAAATCATTTGTTTGTTTAATACTACTATTACTACTACTACTACTACTACTACTAATAATAATAATAAGAAGAATTCGTAGTTCAAGCATTTTCATGTTTCACTCCCAACTCCCTAGCCGTCCTGGGTATGATGATAAACTACATCCGCGTCCTGGGTAAGACGATAAACTACGTCCAACAGCAAGGCCTCTGATCAGGAGGTTTTGAGAAGCATGGGACCACCTCTTAATTGCTGGTGTTCTCAGGTCCACTCTGACCCAGGGTGGTTGTACTTGTTAGGGTCCAAGCTATGGGCAAAATAGCTAACACCGAAACTGGGGTAAAAACACTATGAAAGCGTAAAAATATGTTTTAATACCAGAAATACTTTATAAAAAATTATTATCAGCAATAAATTTTTGAAGAAAAAAATATTACCAGAAATAAATTTTTGAAGGAAAAAATTATTACCAGAAATAGATTTTTGACAAAACAAAATATTACCAGCAATAAAAATTTTGTCAGCATTAAATAACCCATTGAGGCTGATATGCCGTAAACCAAACCAAACCAAACCAAACCAAACCAAACCCAACCCAACCCAACTACTTAGTCATATTGTATCATGAGGAATCACATATATATTTTACTTTTAATTACTTCCGATAAATGCAAATAAAATTTCGAATCATAGCAAATCAATGGAGGAATTTTAAATTTGATTTAATCTCTTCTCCAAATGCAGTTGTAAATTTGAGTATTACAATTTCACAAGTGAAGACATGAACTTTTGATGATTGTAGTGTATAAGTTTTAGAATACCTGTGGCGCTATGATGAAAGGAATCATGGAGATTGATTTCGTCATTGAATGTTATAACGTTAATATCAAAATAGTTAAGACCAGCATATCCCACTCCCTATTTTTTACATTCTGCTACAATTTCTGTATTCATTACAAAAATAAATAATAAGATACTCGTGTTCATAGATGTATAAAAGGATGCTTAGCAGGTCTGGCATGGAAATAAATACAATATTGGTACTCATAAATATATAAATAAAGAGAAATGACATCAAGGTTCAACAGCAGGAACAGCATCACCAAGAAAAGAAGTATCGGCGAAAGCAGTCAAGAGTGAAAAGCAGCAGTAAAGACTGTAGCAGACAGATTAGATTTAAGGATCTATGTTCTAGACTCAGAGCTGTCCCACATTAAAATAGCATAGTGGATTAACTTTTGTAACTGGAGGAACATCAAAGGCCATCATTAGAGGCGAGACAATGAAATAATGCATAGCTGTTCAGGTAGGGAACAACAAGAGCAGTCACCAACTCATCCGGAATGAAGTAAAAATACTAGACAAAGGAGAACACTGGATATGTGAAACATCTGGAAGAATCAACGCATATGAGTGTCTCCTAAGTACGCCTAGCATAGAAATTAATAAAATGTGGGAGCACTTAAAAGATAAAGAAAGAGTGAAAGTAGTCAAGCGTGACAAGCAGCAGCAATGTCACCAGGCAGAATAGGTTTATGGTTCCAACTTAGGGCTGTACTACAGGCTAGTGAATTGGTTCGTGAACTTGGTGAAAATTAATTGTGAGTTCAATCCCAGTTTTGGGTAGTGCAGTTGAAATAGGGTAAGAAATAACTAAGCTGTACGAACTAAAAATAAGGCGAAATATCTCCCGATGTGAATGAGAAAATCTACCTTCCTCAAGGTTAGGTCTTGCGATCTGTCAGTCTAGAACAGGGGTGGCCAAATCGCGACCCACGAGCCACATGCAGCTCTTTCACCTTTAATGTGCGGCTCGTGAAAATATGTTGGCTAGGCTCTTTTTTTATCACACATGATATAAAAGGTAAATAGGAAAAAAATCAAGCCTTATAATTATTTACTGTGTATGAATTAAGAATTAAAACGTACGTTTAATAAGATATAAAATGTAAGCTTAATGCTAATGTGTATGTAACAAAAATGTCTGTAAATTTTTTTTCATGTCTTGTGTCTCTCAAACATTTAAACTTTATCGTATATATCTCTTACATTAAGGAATTTTGTTATAGTAGCACAACCACATCGTAATTTAGTAAGTCGTAAATTAGTATAAGTAGCGAGGCTGTATCCATCACAAGTTTCTTAGGTCTGACACATAATTTACAGCAATTGGTATTCCCCAGTGATAATTCATCTAAGTACTAATGTTGCTTAACTTCAATGGTCAAATGTGAATCAGTATTTCAACATAATATCGCTGTACCCATGACACTCTTAACATGTTCAAGTCTAGGGATAACCATTATCTTCAACACATATTCCCATAAACTGTCCATGCTTCTTACGCTGTAACTCTCTATCTCGAGTCACTTTTGGTCCTTGTACAGAGTCGATAACTCGATACAGTTTTTTTTATATTTTTTTTTATTATAAGTATATATTCATGACTATTTGAAAGTGATAGGACAGAGTTTTCCCGTTACTTACACCAAGTTTTGGGATTCAGCATTGTTGTCCTCGACAAGCTATCACAAGGTTACTCCTTCATTTTAGCTATAGTTGGGGCTGTCGATGACAAAAAGTAGATTTTGCTTTTCGTATCAACATTAGTGCGAAGATCGGAATTTGAACATGGCTCGGTTATTTCAATTTTCGTCCCCAAACATTTTACTTTACTCACGCAAGAATGGTTCAAGTTTAAATACACTTCTGTCCTATTTTTTTTTTTACCGGGGGGTTAAGATAATAATGTTTTACCGCTACAAATCCTACTGATTAACACATAGCTTGTAGATTCATACATTTCCCAAGGGTAAAATCAGCGTAAATGAATATAGTGAACCCAACTGGAATTGGAATTCAGCTCTCCGAGTTCCAATCTCGAGCCATTATCCATTATACGTCCACGCTTATAGTATATGGTGATCTCAAACTGTCACCCATTTAGATACTGACCAGGCTCGAAGTTACTTTCCTTAATCGTGTGAGAATTTCTGTTTAAAAGTGATATGGTCGTAAGCCTCTTAGGAGTCGAATATTTGTGAATGCTAATTGCAGAATCTAAATGGCACGCATGAATGCACACGCATATACACATATGTAATCAGCACCATCTTAAGTCCAGTGTAAATAGTTAGCTATCCTCCATATCCTTGTAATCTTCATTTTTTACTTTCTCCTCTGAGGTCAATAGCATTCATCTCTCATTCAGTAACTCTCTACGTTGAATGCCTCTTAAAAAATAATACACAGACACACATTCGCACACACAGACAAATCATGCATAGTTGATGAGAAAACGTTTCAATACTGAAGTGCATACGTATAAACATACAACAACTCGACGGCGCATTTGTAGCTCAGTCGATTAAAAGCACGTAAGGTCATACGACATTTTCTCCTGAGCTGAGAGACAAACTGATATAGAGAAAAAGAAAAAGAAAAGTTTGTCATAATTACATATAATTTTTGCCTGAATTTATGGGATGAGGAGTTATTGTTTACACTATTTCTATTCGGGCTATTGTCCTAATCTCTGCTGTTGACTATTGTCCTCCCTTTTATTTCTACCGGACTTCAACATGTGTATATCGATCTGGTTATTGAAAAAGATTCAGAAACAGTTCTGTAATACTGAGAAATCTCTGTCGAGTAAAGCTTAATACAGGGGAGAACATGAACAAGAATTGCGTATACTCAATTCCTTGCAGTTGTGGCAGAGAGAAACAAGCCTCCCACTAAAGTAAAACCGTAATGAGGGGTGAAACAATGAAATCGGGCATGGTTCTTCATGTTTGAAGTGAAAGAGTTAGTAAACAGTCGCTGTGAAATAAAGTGAAAATACTGGACAATGAAGATCACTGGAGAGTTAGACGTCAAAGAATCAGCGCTTATGCTAGACTATGTGGACTGCCTTAGAGATGGTCTAGTCCTGTAGATTAAATAAAGGGTTTAGTTCAGAATTACTTGTAGGTTAGCCAGATTGAGTTACACCTGCTAAAAGACGGAGGGGAGCATCAGTGATGAGGATATAAATAAAGGATTACATATAATGTTTTTTTTTTTAACGTTCATTGTTAGGAGAATCGGTTGTTCCCAGACAATTTATTTAAAGTTTATTAAAAATGATCGCAATCATTCCGGGAATTTTTTTTATAAATACATATAAGTATTAACATTATGATAAAAATAGTGTTTTAAGGTATGCTATAATTAAGGATAAAAAAGCTCAATAGTTAGAGAGTATATAAATATAAAATTGTACAGTGAGGTCAACACTAAGTAACGATAGTCTGTTTTATGCGTAAACGCAATCTTTAGGCCATGTGTATCCTGTTTTGCCTCGACCATATATATATATATATATATATATATTGGTCAATGGCGCATTATGGGTAGTAAAATCTATTGTATTCATCGTAATGGTTATTGAGTGGTTATGTCTAAAATTATTCTAGAGGCTATTGAGTAAAAATATTTGTGGATATGGATGTGGTTATTAGGATGTATATCTTTTAGTTGATGTTCGTTAACTTTTTACTTGTTATTTATTATTCATTACTTAACTATTCACTGTTGACATTATTGTTACATTTACTTGTGCCTATGTGCGCATTCGTAATTTGTTTTTTGGTTGATTATTTAACTAATTTGTTTATTTATTTATTTAGATTGTTTGTTAATTTTTTTACAGTGCTGATTATCTTATTTTTTTTTACATTATCTGAGTTGTAGGTAGTACATATAATTGCATCTATATGCATGAAACAGATTGTGTATTAACTTCAGTGTCCACTTTTAAATTTATTTTAAATATTAAAATTATAAATACTAAAATATTGAGGTATAAGTATATTATAATATATAAAATATTATATTTAAATTATATTATATATATAAATAGAGACACATTTTTATATGAATATTCTTGTGAAAAATGAAACTAATGAATTAAGTGAATTCGTAAAATTAAATGTAAGTTTATCAAAAGCATTGCGTGTTGTCCTAAATTGTATAAATTTTGCTTAGTGTTATCAGTCAACTAGCTTAACTCAGCCTAAACATAATAAGCAACTCTTTCCCCCTCTCTCTCTTTCTTTCTTCCCCCTCTCTCTCTTTCTTTCTCCTCCTCTCTCTCTCTTTCTTTCTCCCCTCTCTCTCTGTATGTGTGTGCGTGCAAATGTCTGTGCGCGTGTGTCTACAACTGAACATGGTCTCAGTTTTTTCCAGCCTGCGTTTATAGATTTAAATATGCGTAGTGTAGCAACTCGAAACAGTAGCATTAATCTTTAAGAAACTTTCAAGTAGTTTATTACACTGCTCCAATATCATGTCTCAAATAGAGAATTTCGGAATGGGGAACTTCATTGTAATAATTCCAATTGACAAGTAACTGCGGAATCTTGACAAAAACAATAGACAGCTTCTATTAAAAATGCTTTTTATACATAAAACACGACACCATAATTTAGAAATGGTTTCAGGCTTGTGAATATGACAGAATTTGCAGTTGAAGTAAGATATACTATATCTAGGTTAACTTTTGAGTGGATTAAATTTTAATAATGTCAATGCAACATATGAAATGGAAAACTAAAATGAAAATAAGTTTGAAATTTATTTTACCTGTGTTTTACACCAGGAACGATAAAAACCATGCTGCCGACTTGCAATCCATCAAACACAGTTGCTGTATACAGTAAGTTGAGCATAAATATTTGATAACGGCCACATCCTCCAACAGTTTTGATTACGTCTTCGTAATTCATGCTTATCTTGATATTTCTTTTGCTTTCTAGCTGAAAATCATCCAAAATGCGACATTAGTGATTACATCCCACAATTACTGAATACAAACGTATATACCATTGAGCAAATCGTATAGCATTTAGCCACTCCATTTAGTTAAATTTCTATAATATAATCAGCAGTAGCAAAAATAAGTAGCGCCCACTATAGTTTGGTAATCAATCTACGCTCTCTCTTTCACACACACACACACACACACACACACACACACACACACACACACACACACACAGACACACAGACACACACACACACACACACACATATATATATTGCCCGTCTTAAATTAAACAAATCTCAGAAACCTGTATAACTTGAATTTGATTTCAACAATAATTAATGTTATTGGATTTATTATGAAAACTGCAGCGTGAAGATATTATGCAAAACCATAAATCACTTTTTACAAGGTAATGAAATAAATAACAATTGATCAGCACCTATAATAGGTTAAATAGTAAACATATATATGATACGTCTTTGAAACATTTAATTCTTAATAAAGTAACCCTTTTGCTCAATAATCTATCCATTATGCGTTGATTTTAATGAATTATTTTGCTTCACTAGGTTCAATATCCGACATGGTGGATTTATCTGTCTATATTTCTGAGATGAGGTATTATGTACACTATTTACATTATTCGGACTATTGTCCTCATCTTTGTCGCCATATTTATTACAACGTTTCGGCCTTCTTTTGGTGGTTGGAATGTCGAACTTAACTTTAAAAATTTTATTTCGCTCACCGGGGTAGACTGTTCTAGTTCCACGTGCCATGTTTTAATTGATGTCAGTTATCAGTTATCTCCCTTTAATTTTAGTGGAACTAGAACAGTCTACCCCAGTGAGCGAAATAAAATTTTTAAAGTTAAGTTCGACATTCCAACCACCTGAAGAAGGCCGGAGTGTACAACGGCCGAAACGTTGGAATAAATATGGCGACAAAGATGAGGACAATAGTCCGAATAATGTATGGTGGATTTAATGGTTTTCTATCATATTGTTTATCATCTTTTAATCTTCACAACTTGCCTTCTTTTAGTCACAGATACATCCGCATGGGATAAAATTCGTCATTTGGTCCATTTATCAGGTCCGTTGTCTGTATTCTGAGATTAGTCCGTGAAAATTACTTTAGAAAAATAATTTTTCATGCATTCTTTGATTCTTTAAAGTATTTGTTTTACAGGGTGAAAGGAGATAGAAAACTTCTTGATTGATCTGAATTTGCGACATATTCTACACCTTTTGTCATTCTTGACTCCTTTATCCTGTTCAACAATCTTGCCACCGTAATTTTTTTGCTTTAACTCGCATTCGTTCATGTTTACTTTGAAGAGACGCCTTGAAGCCTTTTCCTTTGCTTACAGTTCTCTAGTTATTTTCAACAGCCCTTTTTTCGTTCGATGATCTCTGCGAAGCTCCTTTGATATATCCAATGGGGACGTTCCCTTACTCAATGACATTGTTATTTTCTGCTTTTCAGCATTTGTTAGATCTTTTCCATTAACCATAATAAACATATATTATGCACAAAAATAAAAAAAAAGTTATTATTAAATTTCAGAGGCTTTAAACTAATATTAGTTTAATCTGCATAATAACTTCAGACGGTTCTTGATCTTCCATATTTGTTTTAAGAGTGTCGTACTACTTGCATGATTTCAGTTGTGAAATGATATTTTATGTGAGTATCTGTTTTCAGCAATTTTCTATTATTCTTATACATTTTTCTGTGCTTCCTTTCTTTCAATGCTTGATACATTGGTTATTTCTTAATAATCGAGTTTTCTTCTGTATTTACAGGTGATGGTTGCGTTTGTTTTGGTTGATTTTCTGTTTTTTTTATGATTTATAGGATATTTTGATAGCATATGTATTACATTTTAGATTATTTCTGTTGAATACTTTGTGCAGTTTGCTTGATTTTTATTGATGAATTTTATGAAAAATTAATCTATATATCGATGATTAACAAATGCCAAATTAATAAAACAAGCGTGAACAAAACTTTCTTAGGTCACCTATCACTTAGCAAGTTCTAATTACAATTCTGCTGCGCTCATAAAATCAATTATAATTATTATCAACAAAATGTTCACTTAATTCAATTTATTCGACTATGGAATGGAGTTGTTTTAGCTGACGATTCATAAGCATCGATGAGTTTCTTTGAGACAATAGTTTAAAAAATGACATCAATCTCGTATTTTTGTTCTTTTTCTTCTGTTACTTCCTTTCCATCGTTAAAATATTTTAGTTTTTGTTGTTGTTGTTGTTGAGATCTTTGAAGTTGCCTGCGATAATTCGCCGGTGAAAGCCAAAACTCTTTTTTTTTCTTTTCCTACGTTCAGCTTACAAATGGTATCTCTTTAAACCACGATAATTTGTTGGATTTATTTAGGCAGGTTTTAAACAATAACATTTGAGCTTCTTTTTTATTTTTTTATTTTTATTTTTTTTACAAATTATTGAAAACCAAACCACCAGTCTACATGATGGCCTAACATTTACATTTTTTTCATTTTTCAAGCCTCACATATAAAAAAAATGTTTTACTGACCGCCTGGCTTCATTATAGTAGTTTTTGTATTCAAATAATACGGGTTATTAAATATCTTCTTTTAATAAATATTTTAAACAGCCTCACCCTCAAACGAAAGTGTAATAAATAAGCTTTGTTTATTGTATTATTTTTATTTACCCTCCATTTTTCTCAGATAAATTTTTATACTAGTCTTGCGAACTTTTATTATTATTTTGTTTGATGTAAAGCTAAATAAATGTTCATATGCAGCAAAGCGTTCATGTGTTATTAGTGTTTTAAATTCATTTATGCTAAACCAACATTTAAATATAAAAATATTTGTAAAACTGAAAACTTGGGTTGAGTTCTTATTTAGATCTAATATTATGCGAATCATACTGAAATATGCAATTTTTAAAAAAGGGGTGAGCCATATATTATACATATCATATTCAAATAAATGACAATTGTGTATGAATGTAGGTCATCGACTCTAATTTAGTATGTTTCTAGTTAATGAAAACGATTGCATATCACTGCTTTTGGAATCAGATAAAGAAAACGTAAAAAATATAATATACAAATTCCCTTCCTGTCTATTGATGCTCTTAACGATTCTTAATTCTTTACAAGCGATTTGTCTTCTTCGTACATGTTCTTCGATCCATTTTCTTTATTTGTCTAATATCTATCTCACTACGTTTTAACTTTTGACTTTTTTGAGCTCGTGAGTGCTAAATTCTAAAATTTACTCATTAAATATATCGAAAATCCCAGTGCATATTTAGTAAAATTTAATCTAAAGTTAGTAAAATTCCTTTATATTCCATCTTAAAACTTCTGAATATTTTACATGATATATCAGTAGTATTCTTAGCTTCCGCCGATATAAACCAATTTTGTTCGCTGCATTTTTTCATATGCGCTTACAAAAAATGTTAGATATTTTCTAGTATCTTTCTGATGATTGCAATTTCGTTTTAACTTGCCAAAAGTTAAAGTATTCCCTTTACATTTTCGTACTTTCATCCCTCAAGCAACATTTACTACATTAGAAATCAATGCAGATTTATGAAAGCAGTCTGTGATTAATTTAGGTGTGTACACACTAAATGTATGAACTTTCCCGGGTTTTTTATTAGTATTAGAAGTTGTTAAATAGAGCGTGTCATTAGCCATACAGGAATAAAATTAATTAAGAAGAAACTTAAAAAAGAAGTTAAAGCAAAACGAGCAAGCAAAAAGGAGTAATGTTTACCGTTTGTGCCCGCAAAAAAAAAAAATAAATAAATAAAAAAATAAAAATGGCGTGTTAAAATGACGGTTACACTTTTGACTTCCTCGGCATTATTTATTGCTTTTAAAAAACGATTACAGGATTTTTAATACAATCCGAGCATATGAAAGTGGATTTATCCATTTATTTCAGAATTGACGACACAAGACAAGATATTAAACATTATTAAATTATATATTTAATCAAATTTTATTGTTCGAGAGTTTATTGAAATTTTTATAAAATTATTAATACAAAACTCGTTTTCATAGTTATTTATAAAATGTTAAATAATAAAAAATAGTACTGTAGTTGGTTTACGTATTTTGATAATTTTGATGAATTTTTGAATAAAAATATTTCCAATTTATTTCTTTATAAATACGTAAATGATAAATATTTATGAGAGGTAAATAAAAAAATACTGCACTATTCTTCGTTTAAATATTTTTTATAATGTTCTAAATATACAAGATCAATCTTGTATTTTTACAACATTATAAAAATATTTAAACGGAGAATAGTGCTGCTTACCTCTGCTCCAGTTGCCTTCAGTAAGCATTGGTAGAGGAAATTTCCCCAAGCTCTCTTTCACCATTACGTATTGTTATAAAGTTGTGTCAGCTGTCTACACTTATCCAGAGTGACATAGTCCTTTTTCTTATTTAAGATCTATGAAAGCTTTCTCTCATGTTTTAGAGTCCGATACTTTTCACCTTGCTAAATCTACTATCTCCAATTAGCCTTAACAATTTCTGGGAGTATTCTAATTTGTCCACCACTAACGCAGTCTTGCCTTTGTTAGTGCTGAAACCATTTTCCCAAATTCAGCACAACCATCAGGAGTTATCCATATTTAGATATGGTATCCCTAGCTGAGGATGTTACCCTGATGAACTCTAAGGCCCAAATAAATGGTCAGGGAAACATACACTAGAAAAGTCGAACCGACCAAACATCACAAGGAGAGGTTGGCAATGGAGACCTGATAGGGATGCATTTCTTTTGTTATGTGCAGTGTCCCTTCAGAACGTGGGCGGCGATCATGGCTCTACAAAATTTTTCTCTCCTTTGAAATACTTAGTAAAGTTTGTCCT